CCCCCCCCCGCCGGTCGTAGTTCGGCTGTTTAGTGTGATATGCATCAATCTTGTGATTAACTACTTACTTTTATACAAAGCATGGAATTCTCCAGGGTATTGGACACTTGGATTATGATACAGTAAATATATGTGTTCGGCTGGTGACTGAAAATAATCCGGTGTCTGGTTCCCACAGTTGATCGAGCTTGGGATGAACGGGTTTGGACTTGAGCCTGGACCAAACTGAACACATTCGTGTTGCGATAACTGAAAAGGAAACGAAATTATAGCCAAATAGTTCAACGTGATTTTTTCTTCATTTACCGAATTTGTTCATTAAAAATGAATGATAAACAAACTGAAACAAGCCTTCCCCGAGATTAATTTCAAAGATTTATGTCCACGACGATTTTGCTGCATCTCAACCTGGTGCATACTGCAGAAAATACAATGTTTATTTAGGGCTTTAGCATAGCAACAAAATAAAGCAAAATACATTAAAAACAGACAAAACATAAAAGAGCGAGGGGGTAAAAAGACTAATATCACCAGGGTAGGGAGAGATCCCTCCTCCCTTCTATGTTTTGTCTGTTTTTAATGTATTTTGCTTTATTTTGTTGCTATACTAAAGCTCTATATAAACATTGTATTTTCTGCAGTATGCACCAGGTTGGGATGAAGCGAACTCGTCGTGGACATAAATCTTTGAAGATAACCAAACTGACAATTCGGTTCAGAGATTTTCACACGGTATTCATTATTTTCTTACGTGTTCCGGATACGTTCTCATCCTTGCGGCCTGGATGAAATAGGACACAATCGGGGTTGCGGGGGGGGGGGAGCTGGCAGTATGCGGAATTATCGGTTTAGCAGTATCAACGAGTTTATGATATTCGCATAGGTATTTGATATAAAATCATAATATTTCTGTGCTCGTAAGCATTCGCAATATATATATATATCTATACTCACATTGAATTGGGTGAACCATAGATGCGTGTTACCGTCTCCTTTTGCTATAACCCACAAACACTGTTCTCCGACAACGTAACCGGTTTCCGCGGTCGGGGCCACGATCGACAGCGGCTCATGGGTAGCATTTAGCCACATATCTCCGCACGAAGTTACTGCGACTGGGATAGAAACAGTTGTAGAGAAAATGGTTCACTTATCTGGAGATTTTTAAATGTGTGTGTGTGCGCGCGCGCGTTACCATGCAAATGAGACCAGTTTCCTTCTTTTTTTTCTGTCCTTGTTCAATTGCCCACCCGCCCCGTGGCCAAAACAAAACGGGGAAAAGTGCTTTATTTTTGCCTTGGTTTGGTTTGCAAACTTACCACCACACTACTGGTTAAAACCGACAAAACGCTAGATTTCATTTTTTTTTCACCGAACCGTGAAGGTTTGATATTTAAAAAATACCACTTATTTCATTTGGTTCATGATCTCGAAGTAAACATCTTCTTTTACCATCAGTATAGCAATTCTAACCTCTACCTACTCTCCTCCTTACCTCACCCCCCAAAAAAGAAATGAAACTTTTTAACTACTATATCCATACCCCTGGCAGAAATGATCACCATTATAATTCTGGGACTCCGAAACGAATTGTGTATTAGTGCTAGTTAGTGACGCATATTTCCCCGGCTCAATAACGTAACTGCGCTATCGGGGTTTGATGTGACCCGTCAGCCACATGACAGATCTCGACCTGAAAGACTCGTGATTCCTAATCGTGTCATTACAACACAAAAAATAGGAATAGTAACAAAGAAGAATTTACAAGTGCTGTCTTCTCGCACCTTGTTGACACTAATCACGTTTTCACAGGGAAAAATTCGTCGTGTACAGCGCAGCTGAAAAGCTAGGACAGCTGTTTCGACCTGACTGGATCTCACTCGATCCAAAATGGGGATCGAACCCGGGACCTCATGGGGCAGAACGCAAGCATGGTACACACTCGGCCACTGGGCAGCTGATCAGACTGTTTTTCATTTTCCATTTACACGATCAACAGCACAACCCATCTTTGCGAACTTGTTTTCGGCCGCACACCTCGCTCATCTCAGCCCTAGCTTTCAGGATTATGAAACAATCACAACCTGACTACTTGTAAATCTGACCGAAGCGTTCCGGGACGGTCTATGGACACGTGCGATTTCGCATTCTAATCGCAACGGAAGCAGTTTCCATTCGTCTTCACAAC